TGACGACTTAGAAATTTGTGTAAGAACAAGAGAGCTTGAGATAGGTGGATGCAACGCTTTGATAATGACACTCGTTGAACTCGTTGGAATGTGCCTTTTCGGTCTTAATAAGGCTTCGTACATGTCCAAGTCTACTCCACCGTCGGTTTCCTCTGATAAGTCACTGTCTGCCACACACTTAACTTCTATGGCAGTCATCATTGCCGCATATCTCATTTTTGTGTTAATCGTTTGAACACCTTTTGTGGACTGTTCTAATAGTATTTCACTTGTTAATATGGAAGACCTCAAATTTTCCTTTTCATTCTTTGCATCTTTTATTACTTGGTACTCTTCGCGACAAACGGGCGCCGCCGTTTGCTGTCCAGTTGTCACTACTCTTTTTGGAACCGCCCAAATGTAATATTCTGGATCCTCCTTCAACGGTTTTGCTAAAATACCGACGCTAATATGCGTTTGCGTTGTAATTGTGCTTTCACTTTCATGAAAGCCGTCATTACATCTAGAATCCATCGTTCCGATATGTCTACTGCATTTCTGCTGGTCAAATAACTCTCGCGGTGCCGCAAAGACGCGTGCAGTACAGCTTTCTTCAATAGCGGCTTCAAGCGTTTCACAAATTTTATCTTGAATAGATTCTTTAATATTCTTTTTAACTGCCGACAAAGAGTCATCCCCCGAATCTAAGTGTATCAGGGATCCGTAAAAATCGCCAGCCTGCACACCACTGCTTTGCGTTTCAACAGAATCCGTTTGAGTGATCTGAGAATAATGTGTTACAGGGCTTACGAAAATGTCAGCAAAAGAATGAGAACTCCGATCTGTCAAAATGTAGCACAAAACTCCTGTATGCCTTGGAGACTCAGTCAAATCTTCTGTCTTCAAAGGCTTTACCAAAGAACTCCGTAGAAAATAAGATCGTAACTGCACTTGAAAGCCAGACATTTTTACGTCTGTTCCAGTAAAAGGAATAAAATCAGGTTCGCGATCAGATTTTGAAATGCCCTCATCAACAGATTTTAAATAACTTTCAAATGAAGTGCAGGTAAAATCTCCTAAAACAAAAGGCTCAGGCTGATCACCATCATCATGAACAAACGACGCAGTAGAAGTTCCCCTTGAAAGAAGAAAAGGCCATAATTTATCAGCTTGATCAGGAGGCACAACAGAAAAATCCAACAGGGAATCAATGACAGTCGTGGAAACGCTAGGATGAGAGACATTATCAGATGACAAAAATGAAAGAGAGGCAGACGATGCGGTAGGAAGAGACGCCAATGCAAATGCTTCCCACAAAACGGCATCAACAATTAGATTCGCAAAATCATTCAAACAATCAATCAACAAAATTGATGAATGAGGAGCTGCCTGGCATGGCATATGCTTGGAAATATAGAAAGTAGGCGATTCAGAAGAAAAATGTTGAACAAAAGACGAGGCCAAAATGGCTGTATCTTTGACCATGCAAGCAGTACCGGTAATGAGGGG